AGTACAATACATTGGAATTATCATTGGGGTAAGAAAATACCCCATGAAACATATAATATCTTATCCCTCTGCATAGAGGGATAAGATATTATGGTTGTTGTTGTTTTAGAAACATGCGAGACAGACCATGTTCTTGCTGTTCAGCATGGAAACTCATTTTCCGGCTTGTTTGCTGTGGATAGGGAGTGAGTTGCATTTGTTCATTGGATATGACATTGACAATCTTTATTTCTAGGTTGTGCAAACAAACAAACAAGGCAACAAAGCAAAAGTTTGAAGGAAGGTGCTCTGTTTTCAAACCTAAGCTTAAGAGTTGCTTACTCCCTTTTTTGCTATCAAGACTTACCTCCACAAAGCCAAGTAGATACTTGCTCCAAATCTAGCTGATGACCAGTCCAAGTCTCTGGAAGTGACTTGTGCGCCTTTGATTGTTCCCCTGCCTTCCTTCCCCATACCTGTCCTGAGAAGGGGGCAGCCCTGCTTAGCCTCCCTTCCCACTTCAAAGAGTGTAAAACAGATCATGCTGTCCTTTGTCCAGTGATTTTTCCTAATGGGTGGCTTATTTTTCACAATAGCTCCACACCACACCCTGGCAGCAGTGACGGTTGCTCTGAAAATTATATTACATAAGAATTTGGAATATTGATCAAATAGTAATATGTTAACTCAGTATAGGTAAATGAAATTATTAAAGCAAAACAGAACACAGTAAAACAACTGATCAGAACAGGAGCAGCATCAGAGTTTAAAACATGAACAGAGTCAACAAAAGAATCTGTTAAACACTGCAGGAGTTTACCGGATACCTTGCAGTTGTGGCCAGGTATACATTGGAACCACAAAACGAAGCATCCACACCAGAATCAAAGAACATGAGAGACACTGCAGACTAAAACAACCAGAAAAATCTGCAGTAGCTGAACATGCCATAAAACAAACTGGACATGAAATTCTGTTTCAAAATACTGAAATACTGGACAACACCAGCAATCATTACGTCAGACTGCACAGGGAAGCCATTGAAATCCACAAGCATAAACAAAACTTCAACCGGAAGGAGGAATGTCTGAAACTCAACAAAACCTGGCTCCCAGCTCTCAAAAACACAGAGTGCAAAAGGTCAACGAATTCCACCCAGCCACAAGGTCAGGGGATTACTGCACACAAAAGATCAGCTAATGACACCCATCAACCACAGGGACAGATAATCTCCCCTCCTCATCAAAACAATACATCCACAACAAAACACATTAATCAACCATCTCCTGATTAGGACAATAGCCTACCTCACAAACTAGCCTTCTCACAGCCATAAATACTCCACCCACTCTCAAGCCTACCCAGAGCACAGTTTGCTGTCCTCTGAAGATGCCGCCCACAGAGACTGGTGAAACGTTAGGAAGAACCACTTTCAGAACACGGCCAAGAAGCCCGAAAAACCCACAACAACCAATCTGTTAAACACTTGGTGGAATAACGAAGGGATTGCTTGAAAGCCACAAGAGAAGGAATCAAGCAGAGTCTTCCAAGTTCTGATGTTTAATAAATTGTTCCCATCTTTACAGTTCTGCTGTGTTTGGAGGAGCTTTTACTACTCCACAAGCAGTAACTTCCTCTTTCCCTCAACGCTAGTAAGCAACAGCTCTGTCGGTAGGGCTGTTTTCAGCTTCACTGAAGAGAAGGGTATAGCTTACAGTGGAGCTTCTTGTGTTGACATTAAAACAAAACTCTGAAGTCTTTCAGATTGCAGTAAATGTATTTGTTCAATTCAAGTGAAAAACTTTCATTTTTAGAATAACAAGAAGGCAATACAATTTTATGTTACGCTATCCGTGCACAATACTTTCAGCTTTGCTGACAGCTCCAGAATCCTACCACATTTTGCAATATTCAAGTTTGCTGCTTTTTCATGCTAAGAGAGTAGCAATTAATTTTTGCTCATTTGCCAAAGGCTAACAACATTTTATGTGGGTTACGGAACTGGAGAATGAACATAGGTGGCTTTGAAAGATCACCTTCAGGCCCTCCATTTCTTTCTTTCCTTCCCCCCCCTTTTCAAATTATACCTTCGAAAAAGGTTTTCACTTCCATCTGTTCTGTTCTTTTCCTAGCCGCCTGCCCCTTCCTGTTTTGAGTAAGGATGGAAGGGATAAAATGGTGGTGCAGAAATTATTATTAGGAAGATGGACAATCAGGAGACAAACATGGGTGTGAAAGTGTTATGAATATTCGCGGCCTTGGAGGCAGCCACAAGGGAAAGAAACAGCTGAGAAGTTCTATTGCAGCAGGCAGGGGAATGGATTATGAGGCAGTGAATCTATCTGTTCCTTGTTTGTTTCCCTAGCAATCTGAGCTTGATGCTTTGACATGCAAGGACTCTTCTGTATTCAGTTCCCTGCTGAGTTTGGTTTCACTCTTTCGCACATATTATGGAGACTCATGAATCAAAATCTCCCCACTTCCTTTTTGCTGATCTGCTACTCATTTACACATACTTGATATTTAGTCTATACATAGCACCAGCCCTGGTAGTTATGTGTTAAGATCAGTGTCCTGATAAAGTCTGAGACATGCTTTCCCCTATCAAACAAGCACTTTAAGATAATTGAGACGCTTTGCAAGGAAAGTCTGGGAAGAGGCGCTTGGTGCATGAAGAGTTCCTGGCATAATTTGCTTTTGCAACAGAGAAGTGGTCTACTGTTTATATTTTAAAGTGTTACATAGTCCATTTCTTAAGTTAACTTGCTCTAGCATAAATCAGGCATCAGTCAATGAGAGTAAGCAAGAGAACCATCCTTCCAGCACCGTAAGATACAGTAGCAAGATTCTCTCTGTTAGGTAAAGGTAAAAGTCCCCCTTGACATTTAGTCCAGTCGTGTCTGACTCGAGGGCACAGTGCTCATCCCCATTTCCAAGCTGCAGATCCAGCGTTTCTCCATAGACAATCTTCCGTGGTCACGTGGCCAGCACAACTAGACACGGGACACCGTTACCTTCCCACCGTGGTGGTACCTATTTATCTACTTGCATTCGCATGCTTTCGAACTGCTAGGTTGGCAGGAGCTGGGAGAAGCGATGGGAGCTCACTCCATCATGTGGATTCAATCTTGCGACTGCTGGTCTTCCGACCTTGCAGCCCAGAGGCTTATGTGGTTTAACCTGCAGCGCTATCACGTCTCTCTGTTACTCTAACATAATTATTGTGACCAAAACAAAGGGTTTTTTTAAAAAAACTCTAAAATTGCAAAATTTTTACTTTAATTTCTGTTTTTCTAAAAACAAAATTCACCCACAGAACTGCATACATTGGTTGTATTTGTCTGAAAACATATGAAGAACTAGGGCAGCAATGGTGAACATATGGCACACGTGCCACAGCTGGCACATAGAGCCCTCCCTGTGGGCACCCGAGCCACAAGTCACCATCAAGAAATACAGTGGTGCCCTCGCGTTACGACGTTAATTCGTTCCAGCAAAATCGCTGTAGAATGAAAATGTCGTAAAGCAAAAATAAAAAAGCCATTGAAGCGCATTACAACCTGGTTAATGCTTTCCAATCGGCTAAGAACTCACCGTCCAGCGAAGATCCTCCTTAGGGGCGGCTATTTTCGGTTGCCTGTGCAGCGAAAAATGGCTCCTAAACAGAGCGGGGAGCCATTTTGAGCACCCAGTCGCCATTTTGAAAACCCGACGATCAGCTGTTTTGATCGTCGGGAAGCAAAAATCGGTTCCCGAAACAGGGAACTTATCGCACAGCGAAATTCCCCCATTCAAAACATTGTTTTGTGATCGTTTTTGCAATTGCAAAAACCTGGTCGTAATGCGGATTCATCGTTAAACGGAGCGCCCGTCTTGCGAGGCACCACTGTACTTACTTGTCCTCCGATCCCGGATTTTGGCACTTCCCTCTGCTGGTGCAGTGGTCCAGCGGAGGGGTGCAATGGCAACCATTACCAGTCTAGCCCAATGGGGGATTGGAGGGCCAGTAAGTATTTATTTGTCAATACCACTCATTGGAAAAAGGAACAACCAAGCATTTAATCTTTGCAGTGCAGGAGCAGGGTTGTTTAGCTAAACTAAAACCTCAGTATTCAGGTTTTAATTGCAGTGTTGGCACTTTGAAATAAACAAGTTGATTTTATGTTGCAATTTGGGCACTCGGGCTCAAAAAGGTTCAACAGCACTGAACTAAGGTGATGTAGTGGTTGGAGTGTTGAACTACAGCTCAGAAGTTCTGGGTTCAAATCCCCGTTCATCCATGAAACGCATTGTGCAACTTTAGGCGAGAATGAATCTCTCAGCTTGACCTACTGTACTTCATAGTTTTTGTGAAGATAAAATAGGAAGAGGGGAGCCACATGGAGGAAACGCAGGGTATAAAAGGAATAAAATAAATATTAATAGTGGCGGTCATAGAGAATGTTTGGTTTCCTTTTAATTAATGAGCAAATTAATTTCACCATGGAATGTCTCAGTTGCTTGAAAATAACATAGTTGAATCTGTAAATGTTGTGTTTATCCATAGGATAGATTAGGAATATGAACGAACAATAAACGAACAAAATGTATCAACCTAATACATTTTTAGGCTCTGCAAAGAAAACGCCAGCTTATACTGATTCTGTCATGTACTCATTGTTCAGTTTCAAAGTGGTCTCCAATATAAACCATGTTGAATATATAAACCTTTGCTGGAAATATGGAGCTGAAATACTTCCAATTCTATTACTGGGGCTGTGGTTGTTAAGGGCAGTTACTAAAGAATTCCGTATAAATCCCACTGGCTATAATGGGACATTCTACCAGTAATCACACATAGGATTGAGTTGTAAACCTGCAAGCCAGAGAATTGCCTGCAAGGAAATGTTGTAAGTTGAATAATTTTTTAAAATGACTTAAAAGACTTGTTTTCAGAATTCCATTATGTTTGCCAAGTGTTGGGAAAGTTCCATATTAACCATATTAATTGCCACTTGTCTTGTTTGTTTCTTGACACACAGAACAGTACTGATTGTCCACAGATTGTGCCTGCCTCTGTTGCACCTGTATCAACAGGGGTTTCCCAGGACATTACCATCATGTTGAGGAATGCCGCTTTTATAAAGGTAACTAAATAGATGGGCAGTACAGGTTGATTCTGCATTTGCCTCAAGAGTAAGAAAGTAAAGACTATTAATGAAGTATGAAGCTCAGATCATAACTGAAAGGAGGGTGATCTCTGACCTGCCTTCCTCGCCTTCCAGTGACAGCCGAAATAGCCATCGCAGGGAGGACCTTAATTGAAAGCAGTCATTTTGGCAAGTGACTGGGTGGGCTAACATAGGAAGAAGGAAATGTGCTGTGTGCCTTCTATGCAGACATTCACTAGGGATCTGTTACACGTAACGCAAGAACCTTCGTGACGTTTGTACAGTACATGGATTTATAATACTGTTAAACTTTCATTAGAACAGAATTTTTTTGGGGGGGGGAGAGAAATCAACATACACTTGAAGATACTTTTTTTCCATATTTCACTCAGTGAATTTTGCAGGTGTGCAGCAGCTCTCACAGGAGACTATACTCTTAGACCACTTTATTTGCAATACTATGAGTCCCATGCCTCTGAAGGTAAAAAAGCAACAGACAGCAAAATCTATGTTAGAAATTAAATCAAAACCAGAAATGTGGTCTTAATTCCTCTCTGATCAGCAGTCAGATTCTGGGGTTGGCGGTGTATATTTTTGCCTTCAAGAAAAACTGTATTCTGTGCATCTTCCTATTCTGTTCAGACAAATAGTCTTAGAATTATAGTTTCTGGAATGTGTTTGAGGTACACATTTGAGTATTTATAGTTGGTGGAAGGCTAATAAGGAATGGCATAGAAGAATATTTATATTAGTATCTTATATTTCTGCTGTTAAGTATCTGAAAACAGCCATTATTTGAACCTGTACCAGTGCAGTTCTCTAACCAGTTCTAGGAATTTCAGGATACTTTAGCAACATGAGGATATTAACCAAACACTCCGTTCCCAGCTGTGCAGTGCAGTCCTCAAGCAGTTTAAGGGGTTAGAGATGGGCATGGACCCACCACTTTGGCCATTCGTGCTGGTTCATCCTTTGAACAAAGAGTTGTTCGTCTCTTCCCAGTCCCACCTTCTCTGGCAGGTGCCCACTCAGAGGCAGTGCTGGTGAGAGAGGAGGCAAGGAAGCTGGGGTGCTGCCTCTTGAGTGGGCACCTGCTGGGGGAGGCTGTTGCGGGCACACTGAAGCCTCTATTATCTCAGGCCTCCAGGAGGTGCTCACGCTTCTACTCAGTTGCTGCCACCAATACATCAATTCAGTATCAAGTATTTAAGGAGACAAGTGTTGTTTTGAAACTAAAACTTGTTTATTTGATCAATAAAATAAAATAGGTAAATCACAAGTTGATAATCGATATCTCTCACTCAATGACACACAGACCTTTCTCTCACTGACTTTTTGGCTCACAGGCCCACAGACTCACTAATCTCTCACAAATCCTTCAATCTCTCCAAAAACCCCTTCACATCCCATTTATATCCCAGCTCCTCCCCCTTTTACACCACCTTCTGTCACCTCATTGGCTGCTGTTCCACTGCTCAGCTGTGATGGACAGGTGAGGGCAGGGCTGAACGCTGCAGAGGCGAGTCTGGGAGCTACTGAACACATGGTTTTTTTCTCCAAAGGACGAACCAGCAGTTCCTGCCCATCTGTATTAGGGATAGATAGGGAAGATAGATTGATAGATCCCACTTTAAATTTCTTCTCTTTTAGATTCCTGGAATAGATAGACTACCATTGATTTCTGTGCTTCACTTTTTTGTTTAAAAAAGGCAAATGAATTAATAAAAAGGAAATATTTTGATAAAAGCTAATATTTGGGGGTGGGAATCCGTATTTCACAGCGGGTCGTGTTTTTAAACAACTGTGTATGATTGCAAGCCTAATTTACATGTGGGCTTGTCAGAGGAACAGTTTCCCTGCTTAAAACTGGGCATGCACAGAGCTTTTCTTTTTGTTCAGAGCGAAGCAGTGTTTAAAAGGCTTCTTAAATAGCCTTTATTGACAGTTTCTGAAGTGTAGCAGTAACCAACAGAGGAACTTAACAAGTCATAGACAAAGTCTCAGTTTGCTTGCATCACAAGCAAAGAAAACTCTTTGTACTGTGGCTTTATTAAAGTTGCTTCCCTAAGGTCTGGCACTGGTAAATAAGGATATGCTGCTACATTGTCAGCAAAAAAAGAAGAGGGAAAAAGCCTTGCTTCCTCTGGGGTGCAGCAAGGTGATTACAGAGGAAGAAATTTTCTGTGTAACTTGATAAGAAGTGGAATAAACAGGAAAGCTACTGAAGAACCTCAGTTCCCAAATGAAAACTCCAGACAACCACCTTAGTCTGGCTTCCTCTCAGCCTGCCTTTAAATGCTAGAGAAGATCAGCAACATGTGGTTTCTCCGGGATAAAAACACATCTCATGATTGCTTTGTACATGTTCGGAAATGCTTGTGAGCAAAGGTCATTGGCTGCAATAACACATGTACTAAGCTCTTGGATGAACACTCGTTTCGTTTTCCCCATTTCAATTAATATGCAATACTCTTGCTTGCAAATTACTTCTTTCCCACATTGAATGTCACCATGCTATCCCTGACTGGGATGAGGGAATGTGTCCCCATTGATTGTGCTGGACCTCTCAGCGGCTTTCGATACAATCTAGCATGTTATCCTTCTGGCCCGACTTGGAGGTACTGGAGGTTCCAGTCTTTCTTGGAGAAGAGAATTCAGAAGGTGGGGCTGGGGGAGTCCTGTTTGACACCCTGACCACTGGCCTGCAGGGTCCCTGGTCGGTTGAAGAACAGATCAAAGAATAAGGGTGCACCCTGTGCTGGATGGGATTACAGTACTGTACATCTGAAAACTCAGGTCCGCTATTTGGCAGTTGCTCCTGGATTTGTCTCTCAGCCTGGATGCCCAGGTTTCGGAGGTGGTCAGGAGTGCATTTGCACAGTTAAAACTAGTGCACCATCTACACCCGTTCCTGAACTGCTCTGATCTGGCCATGGTGACACATGCCTTAGTTACATCCCAGCTAGATTACTGTAACATGCTCTACGTGCGGCTGCCTATGGAAAGTATCAGGAAACTTCAGCCAATCCAGAATTAGCAGTAAGATAGCTAACTCAAGCTGATTACAGGGATCACATAACCCCTCTATTACAACTGATTACGGGGATCACATAACCCCTCTATTACAGACTGTCTTTTAATTATGTAAGCCATATTTATATATTCATTGTTTTTAGCTTTAAATATTGTCTTTTAATGATGTTAACTGCCTTGGATCCTTCTTAAGGAGAAAGGTAGGGCAATGAATGAATGAATGAATGAATGAATGAATGAATGAATGAATGAATGAATAAATAAATAAATAAATAAATAAATAAATAAATAAATAAATAAATTCTACATACCTATTTTGTTAACTCCATAAGATGGCCTAAGCTGCCCTATGGCTTGGCTGGGAATTTATAGCCTTTTTATCTTAAACCTTCAAACTGGAAGACCACCTTAAGGTCATGTGTCTCTACAAATGAGATACGGCTCTTCCCAAAGATTAATATTGTCTGTTTCCAGATCTGTAACAATGTGGTCTTCTTTTAAACTTACTTTTCAAGCTTCCATCAAGCTTTTTAAGATTATCAAAGTACACTGGTCAGTTATGTTTACTAAAGCAGCAAAGAAGCTTGTGGTGACTCCCTTAGATTTCTTGTGACTTACGTTATTGTAATTCATGAAATATTCAGTAACTGGAAACAGAACTAGTTATCAGATACACGTGTGATAACACAAGATTCGTCTATAACATAATAAAATACATTGCCACACAAATTCTTTCCTGTCTTCTCATTATCTAGGATATGCCTTTGGAATGTCACTTTGAAACTGACAGGATATTTGAGGCTCGATGGGAGAACACATCTACTATTCAATGTAGCAATGTACTGGTAAGTTCCATACCATTGGATATTTTGCACCTCTTTTAAAGTCTGCATGACATATAGCTCAGTGAGTTAAAATGGGTGTTTGATTCCTCACTGTACCTCCTAGGAAGGGAGTCATCCTATGTAGCCTTGGGCAAGCTGCACAGTCCCTGAGCACCCCCAAAAGAGGGGAATGATAAACCACTTCTAAGTATTCTGTATCTAGGAAACCTTAGAAAGCATTATCATAAGTCTGAATCAGCTTGACAGCATGTAATTATTATTACTATGTTACTTACAGATATTAATGATGGGACATTTACCATGTATATGCTGTTTTATTGTTTGACTCAAACTGCATTAGAATTTGGTTTCATAAACCCCAATGTTATTGTCACTGTGTTTATTCCCAAGACACTCTCTTTCTAATATAAGAAGAAGGCAAGGGTGGTTCATTTGCTCAACAGTGAAACTCCTGCTAAAAGGAAGTTTCACTGTTGAAAGTGCTGACTGTTGTCATAGTTTCTGTCTTCTAACTACCTGTTGAGAATGAGGAACATTTTTTAAAAATAAAAGTGGGTCACACTTCCCTGATTTTTTACACAGAACCTTTGAAACATAAAGTCCTGTGTGAATTTTGCTTCCACAAAAGCTTGGTTCTCTTATCACTAAAATATGATTTTAAAAGGATAGGACAGAACTTTTTGTTTGCCCCATCCCCCTGAAGAATGTCAATCTCATATACCAAAACACAGCTTGTTATAATATAAAAATGTTCTTGTGATGAAAGCTATAAAACAAATGTATATTCTGCCATTATACTTTGGTCTTCAGTTATTGGGATGACTCTTTCTTTGTTTTCTTCATGCAGCTTTATACTTCAAACAAAAGACACCTCTTTCCAGTAAACCTTCAACTGAAGGAAAAACCTGGTAGATTTATTGACAGTCCCCAGATGATGACAGGTTTGTTTTAAATATGTTCTTCACCATTTTTTCTAAATGAAAGGATAAAATTTCCTTAAAATGAGGTTACACATGCTTACTGAGTTGGTGCTTTTCACCAAGTCTCTTGTGGTATGTTGGGGACAGCAATTTTTCTTGTATAATTAGAGAAATGTTTTATATTTCCAGTGATACAATTCATTCATTCATTCATTCATTTTCATTCATTCATTCATTCATTCATTCATTCATTCATTCATTTTCATTCATTCATTCATTCAGTTTTTATACTGCCAATCTAGTAAATTGGTATTCTGGGCGGCGTACAACAAAAATTAAAGCTAAATTGCAAAACAAATTTGTATGTACATAATTTGTATAAACAAATTATATGTGAAATTCAGAAGTAGCTCCTGATCCAAATGGGGAGGTTAAATCTGCCTTCATGAAAACAGGTGTCAGTTGGATATGTTATTTCAGATGTGCATGCAGGTACAGTCATTACCCCACATTACAATGAATCTGCTTCACAACGATGTTTTTGCGATCGCAAAATGATGTTTTAAATGGGTTTTTTTCACTTTGCAAAGATCGGTTCCCTGCTTCGCATTACGACCTATTCTTCACATTAAAACAGCTGATCATTGGGGTTTCAAAATGGCCACCGGGTGCTCAAAATGTCTCCCCGCTGTGCTTAGGGACGGCTTCCTCGCTATACAGGCACCGAAAATGGCCCCCATATGGAAGATCTTTGCCTCAACCTTAAGTAAAAGGAAATAATGCTTACTTGTTTTAAAAATTCTTTAAGACTACTAGCTTATGTTTAAGACAGACTAATAGGAACCTATGGCCCCTAAACCAGAGATAATAAGTTGAATGAATTTAAATTAGTTGTGAATAACTAGTCCTATGAACATAGAGTTCCTTTCACATCAAATGCTATTTTTTTAGTCTGACAGTAAAACAGGGCTAACAAGAATTTTGACTGGAACTGAACTTATTAGTAGAAGTTGTGCAGTGGACATTAGCATAGAGTGAATTTTCATGATACTTTAGTCATGTGGTTGTAGCTGTTATTATGCTTTATCATGACAAGAGCTCTCTTACCACTGTGGATAATATGTAAAATTTCTGACCAGCATGTTCAATCATCCACTCTCATAATACATATTCCAGCTGAACAAGCATCATTTGCATGGCTATTATCAATACCACATAAGCAAACATTGTACATATTTCCAGAGAAGTATTTTATTTATGTATTTGTTTTATTTATTTATTAGATTTCTACCCCTCCCCCCCAGACAGCGTCTACTCTGGGCAGCATACAAATGTCATAAAATATCATAAAATACAATAGAAACATCATGATCATTAAACAATTAAATCAATAATATGGCATGTTCAAGATGGGAAATGATAGAACAAAAAGCTAGAGTTCAACAATTGACAGAAGGGAAGGCCTGCCTAAAGAGCCAAGTCTTTAAATGGCTCTTAAAAACACCCAGCGAGGGTGCCAGGCAGATCTCTGTTGGAAGGCTGTTCCATAGTCAAGGGGCCACTGCTGAGAAGGCTCGGTTTCTTGTTCTTTCTTTCTGGACCTCTCTCGGCATTAGGCCCCTCAATCGTCCCTCCTGGCTGTGCCGAGTAATTCAGGTAGATCTAGGTGGGAGAAGATGATCTGCCAAATACCGAGATCCCAAACAGTTTAGGGCTTTATACGTCATCATTAACACTTTGAAGTCAATGCGGAAATGAATGGGCAACCAATGTAAGGCAGCTAGAGTGGGAGAGATATGTTGGTGTTTTCTCACCACACTAAGGAGTCTGGCCGTTGTGTTCTGCACAATTGAAGTTTCCGCATCAATCTGAAAGGTAGCCCCATGTAGAGCACATTGCAGTGGTCTAGTCTCGAGATTACGAACATATGGACAAGAGTGGTGAGGGACCCCCCATCAAGGTAGGGTCGCAGCTGGGCGATCCGCCACAGATGGAAATAGGCAGAGCGGGCCACAGACGGCGCCTGGGTTTCCATGGTAAGCACCTGGTCCAAATGTATCCCCAAGCTGCGGACCCCACTCTGTGCAGTGAAAGTCACCCCCCAAAAAGAGAGGGAGTTTCCCAGACCGCCAATGGAGGGGCCACCCACCCTCAAGACCTTGTCCAGATTCAGCCCCAACCCATTCAGCTGCATCCATTGCAGTACAGCCTCCAAACAGTGCTGAAGGGACAGAACGGCATCCACTGAAGTAGGTGAAAAGGAGATGTAGAGCTGGGTGTCATCAGCATACTGATGGCACGAAGCCCACACCCCCTGATGACCCCACTCAGCGGCCTCATATAGATATTAAACAGCATTGGGGAGATGATCGCCTTCTGTGCAACCCCACAATTGAGCCCCCACGGGGCCGAGACACTCTCCCCAATCTGTACTCTCTGGGGATGGACCTCCAGGAAGGAGCGGAGCCAGGCAAGTGCCAGGCCACCGATTCCCAACTTGGAGATTCTCCCCAGGAGGATACTGTGGTCGATGGTTTCTAAGGCAGCTGAGATATCGAGGAGGACCAACAAGGACATGTTGCCCCGTCAGCCTCCCTCAACAGCTCATCCAACAGTGCGACCAGTGTCGTTTCTGTACTGTGGCGCGGCCTGAAGCCCAACTGAAATGGATCCAGGGCATTATTCAGAGATATTTGGGAAGAATAAGTGTACTACTGGGTCATCTGGTTCTTTGATGGCTTTGGAAAGGAACAGACATATTTCTGGAGACTCTACATGGATAGCAGTCCAAAGCTTATAGGAAGGAAGTTCAGAAGGAATACTTTGCTGATCACAGGTTTCTGAAGGCAATCAAGAACTTAACTTTCTATAACACGTCACTGTTTCATATAGAATGCCTAACTGCACCTTAGCTTAGATTCAGAAGGATCTCATTGTAACAGTTTGGCTGAAGCTTCATTCTGTATTATGCTTCCCTCATTTATTCATCCACATTTCCCTTTGTCTGTCCCCATTTGATAGCAGCTCTCTGCATCGTTGTTCAGGGCCAAAATATTCAAATCTGCGATTAGATGCTTGTGATTTCATGTATTAATGAGAAGGTAATAAGACAGTGAAACAAGGGCAGGCAGAAATAGGAAAACTAAACAGATGCCTACTTGAGGGAAGAATGGTGAAATGCCAGGCGTTGTAACAGCCATTGTTTGCTGCTGAAAACTGATACTTCTGCTAACTGTATGGAGTCAGCTGCTCAGAGCCGCCTCTCATGTTATATCTAGAATCAGAAAAATGTGGTGCAAATTGACAAAAGGATTTTTTTAAAAAAAGTCTTATATCATGTTGCAATGGAAATGGATGCCCAGAACTTCTGGGAAATCTTTAGGAACACATCCAAAATTCCTCCATTGTTGTTATGTACAAACACTAATGTTGCTCTTGAGATGTTGATGTTACAGTGCCAAAGGGGGACGGGTAGGGGGCACTTACATACAGAACATCCTGTGTGCTTCAATCTTAGGATATGTTGTCTTTTTTTTCCCCAGTGGAGATTTACAATTGTGCAACTGGAAGTGCTGACTGTTCTCAGTGCCTTGGGAGAGAAGATCTGGGTCATCAGTGCACTTGGAGTGAGAGTAGTTCTAGTTGCAGACTAAACACGGAGTCTGTTCAGAGCCCAGGAATGTGCCCTCCTCCTGAGATTAGGAAGGTAAGACTTGGGCACAATACAGAAAGATGAACTCTGTTCAGCATTATTTTGGCACAGCCAACTTAAAAACCGAAAAGGCTTGATACTTCAGAAAATCTTATAGAGAAACACAATTTCTGGGCAACACTGAGAAAACTGGTGCCCTTATAGGGACGTGGTGGCGCTGCGGGCTAAACCGCAGAAGCTTGTGCGGCAGGGTCAGAAGACCAGCAGTCGTAAGATCGAATCCATGTGACGGAGTGAGCTCCCGTCGCTTTGTCCCAGCTCCTCGCCAACCTAGCAGTTCGAAAGCATGTAAATGCGAGTAGATAAATAGGTACCATCTCAGTGGGAAGGTAAAATGGTGTTCCCTAGTCACGATGGCCACGTGAAAACAGAAAACTGTCTTCGGACAGGCGCTGGCTCTATGGCTTGAGAAGCGGGATGAGCGCCGCCCCCTAAAGTCGGACACGAATGGACTGAAAATGTCAAGGGGAACTTTTACCTTTACTATAGGGATAGTGAGATAGAGACGTGCATTTTGATCTCTGCAAGAGATGCATTAGATGAACTATAAATGATACAATCAAGTATTCATAATGCAAGTGGAGAATACTGGTGAATTCTCTGGCTGAAGTTGAAAATCCTGCACACAAAAATCAGATAGGATAAATCCTGAATCCTGAGATTTAAGATGGCGATGTGAACATTTTCATGACATTACCAAAACCCTAGCTCCATTAACTTTGCTGTTGTTCAATGTAACCTATGTTTCCTTTTTGCTGTTTTAAGAAAGAGCTAAATTTATACATACAGACCTTTCGGAGATAAAACTTAATCCAAGTAGAAGTTAAGCCTTTTGCTTTCAGTGGAAGAATTAAAATTTGGAATTAAGAGTCAACCAGGAGGCTCTACGTCTACACCAGAATCTAAAAAGTACATTTGAAAATATCAAAGGACCACTTCACAAAAGACAAATTGATGATATGTGCATTGCTTCAGCACAGGAAATTGAGTGTACTCTATGGAGCATTCATATTCTTGTTCCAGCATTTATCTCCCAAAAATGCAGTGAAACATCTGCAGATTCTTTCCATTCATCGCAGTTCAGAGGTGAGATGTAAAGTTGGGCACAAACCTTGGTTTGGACATTCATGCAGGTCAGTACATGCGGTACAGAGGTGTTGTGTGTTCCCTTCCCCCACCTCCCTGGCTGGATCCTCCACTCACCAGCCAGCATACTCTCCTCTCCTGCTGTTCAACCAGTCTCCGGCAGGAGCACAGGCTTCCCTGCCCTGCCTCCTTGGCTGATCGTCTACTTAGACAAGGAGGGAGGACAGGCAAATCTGTGCTCCTACCAGGGTTGGTTGAACAGCCAAAGAGGAGGAGGAGAACCGTGTACTTCAACTGATGAGTAAGTCACTGGAGAGGGAGGTGAGGGAAGGGAATACACATTACCTGTGGTGCTATGTGTACAGATTGGCACAAATGTCCGAACCGAAGTTCATGCCCGTCTCTAGTGGGATACATACCGTTTCCTTCACATGAGTCTTGTGCAGAGCAGACGTAGATAAAAAGAGAGAAATAAATCTAGTGGCCAGTGTAGAGAAAATTGGTAATGAATCTGAAGCTGGAGAGGTTGGGGTGAGTAAAAATCTCATCCATTTATAATCCAGTGGCTTTTTATTGCTAATATTTGCGGTCTGTTCCAATTTCTCAGACATGTTAAAGAACCTGTCTCAGCTTCACTGCATAGGAAACCTAGCATCCTGCTGCTTGCCAAACACAACAACTCAAAACAAATCACAAGAATAAAGGTTACAGTGTGTGTCACAGGATTCAGATGCTGTTTCCCTTTGGCGGAAGTCATGTTCAGTTGGCAGCAACTACAAGCAAGACAGGAGGGCCTGGCGTGCTCTGGTCCGCGGGGTCACGAAGAGTCAGACACGACTTAACGACTAAACAACAACAGCAGTCAAATAGTAGGCTGCAGCTCCTCTAACTGTACTGTTAGGGAAAGAAGGAATGAAAATCGGCTTTTCCTTTGCACTTTTCACTACCCTTTTTTGTTTATTTCTTTGTTGTAGTTTAAAAGGCCCTGTCTAAATGCAGGGCATTGAAAACATTGAGAAGTTCCATTACAGCAAGACTTACAGATCAGAGTTTAAATTAAAAACATCTCGGCAATAATCAGTCTTCTCTCTGAATCTGTGTTAGGCCAGTATATAAACAGGCAAGATACTGATGATCCAGTTAGGACCGTTCGCGTTTCTATTGGTTGTTGTGGGTTTTTCTGTTCAAATTGTTTTTTTCAGTGGTGTATGAAATTGTATCTGTATGGGATGAAAGGCATCTCAGAATTAAACTGGTCATAAACATGAAGTAGGATAAACATCCTCAGCATATGGCTTCTTTTTTCCCCCTTTTCCTGTAGAAGCAACCTAAAGCTGGTGCTTACATACAGGTAAGAATCTTCTATTTTACACATGCTCACCAAGTTCCCTTTGAATTGCAGATTGAACCCCTGAGTGGACCCCTGGAAGGAGGAACTCTGGTTACCATACGAGGAAGAAATCTAGGTCGTAGATTCAGTGATGTGGTTAATGCTGTCAGAATTGGCAATGTGAAATGCTCTCCACTCCAGGACAGATATATAGTCTCTGAGGAGTGAGTATCTCGAGTGACATGGAAGGTTTCCGATTATCTATATCTCCCTTTTCAGTTGAGTGATCCTTTCTGGTGGGCTTTCTCCAAGGATCAAGAATTTGATGGCTTTGTATTACTACATGAACTCATGTCATCCACTAGCCTCCTAGTTGCTGACAGTAGTTATCTTTGCAAAGAGTTTGGAAGCCAGATAATAGCTGTACTTGCTTTGTGACCCAGTGAGCAAACTGACTGTGGGTCTGCTCCCTTCCAAAGCCAGTACTTTTTGCTTTTGCTTTTGTTTGTTGCTTGATAGTATTGGCTGAAATCCTGTTACACAACTCCACTGAGCACAAATAGTCAGGGTGTCATCATCCAGAGACATTAAATTAATTCCAAAATTAGTCCCTCCCAGGTGCCCAGCAGCTAAGACGTTCCCCACTGATGGGATCCAGATTGTTTTTATCACTTATAGCAGCTTTTATTAAAGGCATAGAGACAACCCCTACTGCCTTTCCCCCACATTCTCAAGGGGCTGAGTTTCTGGCACTAACTCCCTGGGTACAATGTGTCAGACTGGGGACTTCATTGGGGTGCCTAAAAGTCCAGGTATGGAGAAGTGGGTGGAAAGTATGACTCCTGTTCTGGGATGGGGTCCTTTTAAGGAAGGCTGGTATAGGCAGATGATGGGGACTGGAGCTTCCTTTGCTGCAGTTGCTGCTTACATCCACAGTGCTGAAGCTGGGTTAGGGTAGGTTCTGTGGCTCCTATCAGGCAGCAAGGATGCAAAGGTTGGGGGTGGCACTGGCTCTGTTGGGGGCTGCGTTGCCAGAGCCAGAGGTCCCCAACTTCCTCATCTGAACGAGCTTGGTGGAAGGGGATGGTGGGTTCACTGTTTTCACCTCTGCAAAGGCACAGAAGTTATGGCCCAGTGCTCAACTGGCCTTTTCCCACTGAGCCCTCCTCCAGCTTGCCATGTCAGGTGGTGGCCCTTTTTCCACCTGCAATAGTGCATCCCGATTGTGTAGGGGCCCATGGGATTTAATCTCTTCCGGGCTCCCCTGAGCTTGTGGGGCAGGTCCAGATGGCCTGTTAGGGGCACTCAAGGAGACCCCTTCGCACACACACACCTTTATATTCCAAGGCTCTGTAGGGATGTTGTTTGCCCTGCAGAAGCCTTTGGGACCCTCAGTACAGGGAATTGAAGAACGTTTAATAACAGAAAATTACTGCCAGATCTCTGGTGGTGGAGCACCACTGGCAATATTCTGGTATTAAAGGCTTCCCTCAATCCTGAAGCTCCCAAAGGCTTTCCCAGTGGTCCCGAGTGAGTCTTGGAACTTGAAAGGAAGGTAGAAAATTTTAAATTAAATTAAAACAAAGATTAACATTGCTGGGTGTGTGTGCTATCATCACCATTTATGCGCAGAGTTGTGCCAACTAGATTTCAGCCATTTGAACTCCTCCTTAAATTCCACCAATTTCCAATTAAATTTCCACTTAATTTCCAGGAATTTAATTTATAGTAATAAGTAACATAGGTAAAAAAAAATGAGTATCTACATACTAGAATTGTAAGGTTGTTTATGTAGTGAATATCCTCTGTAGATTCTGGGTGGCTACATTTAGGTGGAAAATTACTTTACACCCTATTTGTTTGTTTTCCATTTCCAGGAGGGGAAGTTAACCATGAGATAATTTTTTTCCTGTGGAGGGGCATTGAAAGGATATTCACTTACTGGCCTAATAGTTAGCTCTCTGTCCCAACAAACTGATCTGCACAAAATTCTAAGCTCCCTCCTGTCTTCTACAGGTGACCTAGCAGTCTCGATTGACAAGTATAATCAAAACTTGCACAGCTGCTACTCATGGTATAGCCATTTGGAAAACAACTAGGAAACTTCTTCTACAGTGTCAAGCCTTTCAGTAGCTTCATATTCTTGCCTACCCCCACTCCCATAAGTTACAGTACTTTGTTCTCATTGCTAGACGGCTTGATGTACCAGCAGAGGCAATTGTCTGCACCCTGCTTTGGAATGAAATCATGCACAAACACTTAAGAGAAACCCATTAAGATAATTTCTTATGAAAACGGTACCAAGAAGCCATGAGCCATGGCTGCCAAAATCGGCAGATCAAGCAATCTAGAATGCAGGTGGCTCAAGGCGTACTGCTCATACAAGTAACATAGCACTATCTAATTTGGAAGAAATACAAATTATCCACCATAAATAGCTGAGGTAAATAGCTAGGCATAAAGAAGGTTTCTTCTTGTAGAAAGACTTGAGTTATACCTGGGGAGAAAGGTAGAAATGTGCAGATAACTTGTAATTACTTTTTATTTAAGGGTATTACTGCACCTGTTGCTTTTTCATGTAACTGCATGACAGAACATACTGTGAGTAAAATGTAAACTTTGTACCAGATTCTACTCCTGATTTTCATATTAGTTCTGGGTTTCTTTGAATTAAATATGCTGTTTCATTAAGTATTCACTAGCTGAAATCCAGTAGTAAGTCACAACTAGAGTAGATTTATTGAATCAGTAAGGATTTAGAGAATCAACACCTAAGTAGTTCCACTCATACTTCAGTTGTGACTTACTATTGGATTTCAGTTACTATATCACAGTGTTCATTGTATCATCTTAGTAAGTATTGTAGAATGTCCTTCGTGCTCACTTCTTCTTGTTATGGCTTCTTTTAATGCAATAGAAAAGATTTTCAAATGGGCTTTTACACCAAAAGTGATGCTGTTGCCTTTGTTGGGTGGTGGAGCAGGGCTACATCCCAACTTGCCCAGTACTGGCTGCTGCCTTATTCGACACAAATGTTTGTCTGCCAAGCTTTCATCATCCTATATGATGTGGAACTACAGAGTTATCTAGGCCAGTGGTTCTTAACCTTTGTTACTCAGATGCTTTTGAACTGCAACTCCCAGAAACCCCAGCCAGCACAGTTGGTGGTGAAGGCTTCTGGGAGTTGCAGTCCAAAACTCCTGAGTAACCCAAGGTTAAGAACCAGTGACCTAGGCAATGCTTTTTGCTCAGCATTGTTGATATTTACCAATATGCAGTAGTTACACTCATACTCCAGTTGTGACTTACTATTGGATTTCAGTTACTATATCACAGTGTTCATTGTATCATCTTAGTAAGTATTGTAGAATGTCCTTCGTGCTCACTTCTTCTTGTTATGGCTTCTTTTAATGCAATAAAAAAGATTTTCAAATGGGGTTTTACAACAAAAGTGGTTCTTTCTTCTTGTAGAAAGACTTGAGTTATACCTGGGGAGAAAGGTAGAAATGTGCAGATAACTTGTAATTACTTTTTATTTAAGGGTATTACTGCACCTGTTGCTTTTCCATGTAACTGTATGACAGAACATATTGTGAGTAAAATGTAAACTTTGTACCAGATTCTGCTCCTGATTTTCATATTAGTTCTGGGTTTCTTTGAATTAAATATGCTGTTTCATTAAGTATTCACTAGCTGAAATCCAGTAGTAAGTCACAACTAGAGTAGATTTATTGAATCAGTAAGGATTTAGAGAATCAACACCTAAGTACAGTAGTTACACTCATACTCCAGTTGTGACTTACTATTGGATTTCAGACACTGTATCACAGTGTTCATTGTATCATCTTGGTAAGTATTGTAGAATGTCCTTCGTGCTCACTTCTTCTTGTTATGGCTTCTTTTAATGCAATAGAAAAGATTTTCAAATGGGCTTTTACACCAAAAGTGATGCTGTTGCCTTTGTTGGGTGGTGGAGCAGGGCTACATCCCAACTTGCCCAGTACTGGCTGCTGCCTTATTCGACACAAATGTTTGTCTGCCAAGCTTTCATCATCCTATATGATGTGGAACTACAGAGTTATCTAGGCAATGCTTTTTGCTCAGCATTGTTGATATTTACCAATATGCTTCAAGGAACACTTTCTAGTTCTAAATAGAAAATGAATATTAGGATGAGTGGCACAGACAACAACATTTGGATGACAAGAAAAGGAGGCACAAATTAAAATGTCAAAGTTTAATTAATTAAAGCATTACAAAGGTGGCTAGTTGCAAGCATACTTTGTACACCTCAGATCAAATTACCAGTGCTGTCTAGTCACATGGCTAAATGTAGTGACAACAAAAACTTCTTGTTATTTGAATATTCTGTGTGTTGTTTTTGTCAAACTACATTTCACAGTAAACAAGAGAATGAAGAAGAAAAATGAGTTCTTCACAAGTGTTGTGTTCCAAGATACGGATTATGCTGTTGATACCGTGAATTGATAAGATGATTTTTAAAATACCTGTCCGTCACTGTAACTATAAAGAACATAAAGTATAGGCATGAAACGTCCTGTTTTGCCCTAATCTGGGTAGGGTGGGCTGCAGGCCATGCTGCCTCAAGGAATTTTGGAAACTGCAGTCCAAAAAAGTACAGTATTGCTTTTCCAAACAGTAATTAATACATTACTGTCAGGTTCAATGCATACTGAACAGGGAAGAGTTAGTGAAGAGGTTGTACCAAGATAAACTCTGTACAACTTTTAGTATGTGGCTTATTACGTATCATGTATTTGCTGTAAGGCCATTCCTCTTGTGAACATTTAGGGAAGAAGAGTCATATCTTAATGCTAGAAATATTAGGGAGAAGCCACATCTTAATGCTGGATCGCATCTTTTGCGTGGAGAGTCTCTGTCAGGAAGCTGCCTGTAATCCCGGAGAAGCCACCACACCTGTCAATAGTGCTTACTATCCAGCCATATTTTAGTTCTCAGTAGTAGTCTCTTTTTTTTCCATAGAATTGTATGCTGGGCTGGAGAAGCTTTAACAGAATTTACTGATGTGGTGACAGTTAATCTGAGCAAGGAAGGGAAATCCAGGGAGCGATACTCTTATGTAGTAAGTGTTTTCTCATTCTTTTCTGAGTTGTTAATCTTGAATTTGTTGTTGGGAAAAACCCTGTTGACTTTGATCAATGTGCCAATGGAATGAGTTATAATTTTTAGCCATTATGCATATATTACCTATTAAGCACTAGAAAAAAATGTGGATTGGTGGCCTATCTAGATACTCTGCATTCCAAACAAACTCATACTTATCTTTCAAAATGGGATCCTAACACTTACAAGTGTCTGCTGTACTGGCTTGAAAATAATCATGTTTTCTAAGTATCTTCAAAATAGACAAAGATTAAGGTAAAATAATTTAATCTTCTTATGCTTAGAAAAAGCTCTTCCTGTGCTTATTAGAATAGATACTCTAAGTCATTCAGAATAACATGATGCACTATATCAAATTATCGCTCACATAAATGGGATCTGCCATCTTATCTCATATGGTGACTGATATTGATGACACTTGTGGAAATTGCTTAGTCAGGAAACACCTCAATCATTTATGCTGAACACAGAAGCTAAACATAAAAGTCTGTGACTTCAGTTGGTGTATTTCCATTAATGACAAAAACAGCCTTTGTTCAAACCAGGACTTCTCCATAAAGGAAAAAATAAGCAAAGCAATTCCCATTACTTTTCCATACATGATTTAATTTTAGACCACCATTTGCTTCTTGGCAACTATGAAACTAGGCAGACTACTAAGGCTACCTTATGTAGTAATTGTTTGACAATCATTATGGTGTATACTGTTAGAATATATAGTTGCACAACCTAGCATGTATATATGCATATATAAGAATAATTGATATGTGTTATTTATATACTAGGAGACTGTAACCAGTCGGATTCTGTATAATTTTAGCCAGTGGGTATTTGAAGGGGCTAACTGCCAGATAGAAGAATAAGAAGGGACAGTTAGGATAAGTTTTATTCTCTTTATTCTGCTTGTTCTATTTGTCTGTTGTTAAGGAAACTATTATGAAATTGTTATAAATCTGTCAAGCACAAATCTATACCTGGTAAAATAATCAAGTACTGTTAGTTAAATTTTTTTCAACACGTTACAAACATTCTTAAAGCTTTATGATGGCTAAATGAATATTCCTTCAACTGCTGACATGCACACACATGTTCATATATGAATACCAAGGGAGAATCTATTCATGAACTGTGTGGTTTTTTTTTAAATATTTATGCTTGATCCACTGCATGTGTAAATTCTCAGAAATTTCAACACACACATTTCTCTGTGCACTTCAGGACCCCCTGCTTAGACTTCCACACTGTAGAAAAAGGATGAAGTGAACATTCTTACGGAATTAAATGCATGTAAAGCAATATCTGGGTTCATTGATTTCCTTGATTGCCAAGAATGAGAAAATTCTGGGAGACAAAAAATGTTCATTAGTTATGATATAGCCCTAAACCATTATTATTTCACATAAAAATCCAATGTTGTGTTGGGCAAAAAGGCTACATTCTTTATTCACAATACAATTTGCAGGTAACATTTTCTCAAGGAATTAAAAATGTACAAAACCTGACCTTAACAAAAGTAACATTCAATAATGCAGGCAGGAAATAGGTTGCAAACTACCAGATTTATCCTATTGCATTTTGCTTTGCAGAACAAATTCCAGTTTAGAAATGAATTTAGTTGGAAATTTTATCACCTTTCCTGCTACCAAAATCCCAATCTAAATCTGCTTTTACTTCTTGCCAGTGGCTGCTTTTCAGTTTAAAAATAAAATATAGAAGATTCTGTTCATTACATCTATATTGGTCCTTTAAAACCACTCAGTATAAAATAACATATATAAATGTGAACATTGTGTAAGATACTTTAAGATAAAAAACAGTGCATTTTTTAAAAGGACCTAAAAACATTGTCCTTGTGCCATTCTTTTTCTGTAAAAAGGCTCCTCCAAAGTTTTAGTGTTACAATACATTATACTCTCTAGTATTAAATGGTGCTATGCAATTCCAGCAAAACACAATGAATATATTTCTTACGTTCTGGATATAAAAAGAAGTCCTATGGCATACCACATCCCTTCAAGCATGTTTCTTCAAAATTATAAGGAACCTCATCCAAGTTATCTATCGTGGATATTGTTATTCAGAAATAAAGGCACTAAAAATCGACCAGTATGAAAACTCTAAAAAGAGTATGACATGCAAACAGAGATTTTAACTTTCAAATAGGTTGCAGGTCCAAAAATTCAAGTTTAAAAAAATGTAAGCATCTGGAGGATCATTCTATAAAAAACAACCATTGGCAACAGTCACTGCTGGTTTTTCTTTGGTATCCTTTAGCGTGTAAAAGGCCTTAATTCTGAATAATAAAAATAGTGGGATCAAACATGCAATAGAATAAAACAATGAAACCGCAAAATAAAAAAGTACAGTAAATAGCATATTACTTACATTACTTCTGTAGAATTTTTTAAAAATCAACCAATTAAAATGATTTAAAAGATTCTAAAATATTTAAAAAAAATACAAAGGTGCCTGGTGCAAAAATGGCAACCAAGTAAATACAATGTAAGTTTTCGTGGAGATAATATTTCACAATTAAAGCACCATCTCCTCGATGAAACAAGCCATCCCACAGCAGCACCTCTGCTTACCCAAGTCATCTTTGATTTTCTTGGCCAACATTCTCATCTCTGAAGCCCCTCCGAATTAAGATATAAAAAAAAGAAGTAGAATTAGCATTATCATACCAATGAAAATTTACTCCAAATCCTTTGTATACCTTCTTGTTTTATGCATTGTGTGAGTAGTCTTAGAACTCTGTAGGAGCTTGTCATCGCTACTAAATCACTGGGACTACCTTCCAACTAAATCTGGCTGGAAGTATTTTCTTCATTTGTAAACTTTGCCCCTCAGGTTTCTTCCTACAGAATTTTTGTGGAACTTTGGATATGCAAAATCTCTGCTGCTTGCTTTTATTACTGAACTGTGATGTTGCTATGCATTAAGAGATCTGCGAAAATGTCTTACCTTGACATTGCCTCCATTTGTCTTCTCAGCTTCCAGTCGTGAAGTTTATGTCTCCATCTACTGGCCCTAAAGCAGGTGGTACCAAAGTAACAATCACAGGGCACAATCTCAGTGTGGGGTCTGAACTCCGAGTTTTGGTTAATGGCACAAAGGAATGCACAGACATCAGGTTAGTCCTGCCTCAGATGGATGAGTTCCCTTGTAGATAATGTGTTAAAGAGCATGTGTTAATGATGGATGCTATAAAAGCCAGCAGTGTTTATGACTAGATGATGGTTGTTGCCTCATTTCTGCTTCTGCCACCTCTTTTCTTTCACCCTTTACTTCCCATCCAGCGTGCTGCCGGGTAAGGGACTGAATATTCTTATCAAAGATCTGAATGGATTGCTTGCTTTTGAAATTAGGCTCAAGGGACCATCTGGCTCCAGGATGGCCTATGTCCCACTTTGGTTGTTAGAGGTCATTTACCTGGTAAATGGAATGTGGTAAATTTTACCACATTCCCTAAATTGATACCCTTCTCCCCTAAAACTCTTTCTGAGTAACAGCTGAGAAGCTGTCATCCTGGGACTGCAACATTGCTATTGCTTTCCTAAAGGCCTTCTTTCCAACAAGCATCTTTCCCTTCTGCACCTTCTCGAGGACAACAGAATAGATGAACCCTTCCCATTGCAGAGAAAGCATGTCATAACTTCAGTTCAGCGAATATCTAGTCAATGATGTAAAACCCAGGACAACTTGCAATTAGAGCCAAAAACCCTTTAGTACTGGGCAGAAGTGACTGGGTCAATTTCCAGTATTTCAAAAATCAAACTTCTAAAGAATCACCTGTGGCCTCTGTTTACCCTAATACACAGGATAGCCATTATACTCCTTCTGGTCTTCTGCTTTTTTTGTCCTTTTGCCTGAAAATATATATATTGTTTTCTATATTATTAACTAGAAGAAGACTAGAGAAGATTAAGTTGCCTGGCTTCCTCACAGTGTTCTTAAATGCACACAAGTGAGTTTCATTTTAATAGGTGCTTAACCTTTCATTACCTTGGCACTGTGTCACAGGGGCTCCTTCACAAGCCTTGTCCTACCTTTCTGGCCATAGCTAACCTCCCTGACAGTCCTACTGGAGCTGATTACATGTGAAGCTTAGGTTTTAAAAAGGCTGGGGAGATATATGGTCCATGTACCAGCCTGCTTTAGCTTGCAGTGACTTATTTAGAAAATTGTGAAGAAATGAACTTATCTGTTCCGAACATATTGCTCAGTGATTCTGATTTCTGCTATAGTGGCTGGAATCCTTTTTCTTTGCATAGTAAGTCACACTAGAGTTGGCCTATTGAATCGGTGAGGATTCGGTGAGTCAGCTCCTCTGTAATATGATTCAAATGGGCCTACTCTAGTAAAGTAAGTCATGACTAGAATAGGCCCATTTGAATTGGTGGAAAATACGTAGGAGCTGACTCAACAAGTTTCAATGTGTCTACTCTAGTGTGACGTACTATGTAAAGCAACAGGATTTCAGCAATATTAGAGAGAATACATTTATATTTATGGTATTCATGCCATTCATAATTCTGTAAAACTCTGTCATTTATATGGTTTATATTAGAGATGGGTGTACATAACGAGGGTCCAACCCCCTGGGGCCGGACCACCCACTCACCTTCCACTGTTGCTGCGCGCTCCATGCTCCCTTCATATTGTTCCAGAGCTCACGGTCTGCCAGCCACTCCTGGCAGGAGGCGGGAGGATGAGCCTCACTGCAAGGTTGAAGAGTGGCTTGCAGACCGCGAGCTTTGAATCAATAGGAAGGGAGCATGGAGCACGCAGCAACAGTGGAAGGTGAGTGGACTCTCAGTTTGTTCACCATCTCTAGTTTATATGCAACCTGGAGTCTCATTGTAGACAGCAGGAATCAAATGTTGTCAGTGCACTGTATTCAGTAGCTTTCTGCATTTCTTCTTTTTAGTCGCACTGATACGACAATCACTTGCACCATGCCAAGTGTAGAAGCTACCACCACTGCAAGCATCTGTGTTCAGTTTGAAAATAAGTCATGCATTGGTGAAAACAACAACTTCAACTATGAGAAAAATCCTAGTATAATGGATATCAACCCAAAAAAGAGCCAAATCAGGTAAGATCCTCTTTTTTTGTTGTTGTTGCTTTCTGGAAAGGTCAGCAGGACACCTATATTTAAATCTGTTGTGATGGTCCCACAAAGACACAAGTGGCAGAAGGTGACCTGGATTAGGGGTGGAGTTTCCTTTGTGTCTGCATGTTGCTTTGAGGCTTGGATTATACTCAAGTTGCTGTGAAAAACAGAGCTGATGAGTAAGGCAAAACACTTGTTCACGCTAAACCCAGTTTTTCATGTACCAAAGTGCAAACTAATAATAAGGGGGAGAAATGCTAATGCAGTATCATCAAAAGATGTTGAAATTCCGGCTGAAGTTCATATAAGAATGCATACTTTTCCTACGGGCTTTGACTATTGATACAGTTTGCAATTTTTGCTCAATAGAAGCTGCAGAGCCAACAGATCCATTCTTAAAATATATTACTTTTGATTTCATTTTTTCCCTGAAGCCCTTAGAGCTCCTGTTCCTTTTTTGAATTTCTCCGTGAAATCACTCCTTGCTTAGAACTGACTTAAAGTGTGAACAAAGACATTTGAGAAATCAGCAGGTGTACCTTGAGCCCAGGTTTCTCAGATAATGTATTCTGCCACCAAAGCCAAGTGCCCTTATCTTATGCAATTCTCTTAATGGAAGTCATTGAATTATGATCACAAAGACCAGAACCAAATAGCAATATGTGGTGAAAAGCTTTACAAGGAACAATAGTTAAAACATTCAGTTTTCAGCGCTTGATATGAAGTTCTTACAGTCTTATGATTGTTAGGAAGGACAGAACTGGGTCAAATATGCATTAAGCCAACGAAAGCAAGTTTCAGCTTGAAAACAGTGTTCTCATATGCTGTGGTATGTAAATGGCACTGTTACTGTAAGGCAACCAAAAAGGGCCGTCTACTGTTAAGAAATGAGTACACCAGAATTCCACATGAGAATCTCTGCATGTTCCATTTTGTTACCACACAGCTGTTTCTCTTCATTGTGGTGCCATAGTTTTGTTTCTCAGATAGATAATTGGATCTATCATGATTTTTCTACAATGATCAAATGCCATTCAGAGCAAAATTTCTTCAAGGAAGCCATGCACCCCAAAGAGTTTCATAGATGTGGCATGAGCTACAGAAAGCCTATGAATATGCATAAGGGCAGCATGCTGAGGCTTTAGAGAGGCCTTAAATGACTTGTGAAGGCGATGTGCCTAAGAGTCCTGTGTGCTAACACTCTGCTTTCGAGTGTCTTTTGGAGGCAAGGGGGATAAATCACTATCTTACTAAATTCCCTGATGAGCCACCTGATGTTGCAATATAATTAAAGCAAGTGGAACATGAAATGGTTGAAGTAATGAAAGGCCACATGCAGGGTAAGTCTGGATTTAGTTTTTGGTAACCAGTGGAAACAAGCCGTTTCCCTTTCCTCCTCTCAGCTTTGGTGACATGTGCTTAGAGTTATCTCATTATTTTCTTTAATTGATTTCACGTTGATGGTGCCACATTTAGCATTCCTTAGGCAGCTTGTCCAAGAAAGAAGGGGGGAGACTCTCTACCCAGACTTTTTAGTTTTTAATGACAAGTATTGAAAACTTTAAGGTTCAAGTTAGATGAATCCCACTAATTTTTGGCTTTCATTGGTGACAAAATATATTAAAAGGGTGCCATTTAAGCTAAGTGGTAAAGTAGGCATTTGTTTGCTTTACAGAGTGACGAAAAGCTCAAAAGTAATTTTGTCACTGCAAGAACTGATGAAATGAAAGCTACTGACTTATATCCAAACTGCAAGAAGGCACGTGGTTGCTGCTAACCCACGTCTTCCTGTCTCTCCCCTCCCTTCCCAGTAGCATGTAGTTTTTTTAAAAGTACATGCAATGCAATGTAATCTCATCTGGGAAGCAAAACTATGGAAGATACGGGTGGGTAATAATAATGTAACAACATGTTGTCTACTTTTGCTTTTTTTCCCCAGTTACACTTTACTAGGGAGTTGTGACACCCATATGCCTCCCTGTATCAAGTAGTTTGAAATTTAGCTTTCACAGTTTAATGGATGACTTCCAGAACTACTATGGACAGGTAGTAGGAAAAGCACAAAATTCTCACTGGCTAACCCTCCCTCACAAAGCTTACTTTTCTGTTTCCTTTGATCTGGCCAGGGTTATGAACGCTTCCCTCTTCACTCACTTTATTATCCTGTCCACTTATGTTCACTGAGAGCTCGAGGTTCCCATTTTTTTACATCTTTCTTTCTTTGCAATTTCGTCTTGAAAGCAATGTATCAGAATCCTGAAGCGTTTTCATTTGGGAACACTACAACAGGCAGTGTATGCTTTTCCTTAGGAAAAGTTTGAGTAATAAAACTGGAGAACTCTGAGATAGCAGAATGAGGCCTTTCATGCTCAGGAGCTTACAGTGGTGAAAGAGAATGTGTGTCTGCCTGCCAGAGCCATAGTTTGAAAGCTAGAATGTCTACATATGAGGCACTGGAAGCCAGTACTTTTCATTTGTGTGACTGTGTTGTCCAGGTGTTGGCCCTGACATGGGATTGCTCACTGGGACTTCAAACAGCTACGTAGGAGAAGGAGCTGAGGTTTCTCTCAATATACACTCACTATGCTTTGTTCTATAACTTCTTAAAGAAGTCTCTGTGAAATGGTACCTTAGTTGTTGGTGGTACACCTCTTTGTGGATGAGATTCCATGTTTTAAAGCAAAGAGCACTCAGATTTATTGCATCCCATTCCCAGTTAATAATTCGATTATGGGAGTTGTAGTCTTATTATTTATCACGAGAGTTGTAGTCTCTCTAGATGTCCTGTGTGGGTGCAGTGGACAGAGTAACAGATTAGTGCTCGGGAGGCGTAGGTTCAAACCCTGCTCAGCCATGGAAGCTCACTGGCCGTGTGGAACTGGTAAAGCCCTTCCTTAATATCTCAATTTCCTTTATAAGTCCCATTAGGGTTTTTGTAAATTGGTTCTGGCTTGATGGCACATAATAAAAACATCTATTGAGAAGAAAACACCATACTGAGGAAGAGAGTTTAGGAGCCTTCTAAATCCTACTGCTTTTTTCAGAACAAGTTGTTGAAATAATGAATTACTAATTTTAAGTCAGTGAGTTAAATGTTGCCACTTTTAAAAGTTAACAGCATCACTCTTTAATTCCTAACATTTAATATAAGAAACAAATTTTCAAACTTGTTTGACTTCACTCATGTGGAGTGGCCATAGTTTGACCTAATTTGAAAGCCAAATAATGTTGCTTCCAGGCTGTAGTACATCAAATCAATGCTACAACTGCATTATATTTTGATTTAGACATACATTTTAAAATATGTTTTGTACATATATGTAGCATACCCATGTACATGCAAAAAATGTGTACTTTGTGTCACACTGTGTTTTATTACGAAATCACACATAATAATATTTATTTTATTTAAAATATTTTTACTCCACCTTTCTCCTAAACAAGGACCCAAAGCAGGTTTCATCATTTTTAAACAAGTAATATTAAAAGCTAAAAACAGTTGGTAAATCTGCATGTCTTGCATCCAGATTCAGTAGATTCAGTCTCTGCTATCTCAAAAGTTTTAAAAAACATGGTGTAAATTAGCAGAGTTTTGACCCAGTCTAGGCAGTCCAGTTAAATCATACACAGACAGCTTCTTCTGACACCGAGCATAGTTACAATACAGTGGTGCCGCGACTTATGAACGTCCTAACTTAACAACCATTTTGAATTACGACCAGCTCCGGCTGCAAAATTTTCCTTCTACTTGCAACCAGAGCTTCAAGTTATGACCGGAAAAAATGTGGGGGAAAAGGCAGGGAATTTAAATTACTAACCATTGGTCAGCGAAGAGGCTGCTTCTTTGTAGCTCTTTTGCCCCAACAGTTAGAGAGTGTGTGTCGGAGGAGGCTTTGGACTGCCTGGTGCTGCTTGCTGCTTCTGAGTGAGTCCATACAGGGTTTTGCAGGGTGGGTTTGGGCTGGGGAGGGGTTATGTTTCTGTGCTGTGATTTTGTGTGTGTGTGTTTTGGTATGTGTTTGTTTTTCAGTCCGTTCTGATGGGGCTTGCATTTTTTTTTTGTGGTGATTTTTTTTCCCCAGCCCCAACGCATTCCGATGGGGATTGCATTGGTTTTTTTTTTTTTAGTGATTTTTTTTTCCGGCCCTGACCCGTTCCGGTGGGGCTTGCTTTGTTTGTTTGTTTGTTTGTTTGTTTCTTGAGTGGGTTTTTTTCCGGCCCTGACATGTTCCAATAGGGCTTGTGTTGTTGTTGTGTGTTTTTTTTTTTGTTTGGGTGATTCGTTGTTGTTGTGTGTGTTTTTGGTTTGGGTGATTTTTTTCCTTGGCCCCGATACATTCCGATGGGGCTTGCTTTGTTTTTGTTTTGTTTTTAGTTATTTCTTTCCGGCTCCAACACGTTCCGATGGGGCTTGCTTTGTTGTTGTTGTTTGGGGGGGGTTGAAATTTTTTCCCCGTTCGGAATGGATTAATTGTGTTCCAATGCATTCCTATGAGAAATGGTGCTTCGACGTACGACCATTTGGAGTTACGACCATCTTCTGGAACAGATTAAGTTCATAAATCGAGGCACCACTGTATATACAGAATTTTTAGCAGTACAAACCAGCAGCATGACAGCATGACATTCATTAGAAGAGATCCTACATCTTCTCCACATGTCCACGCAGTTATACACATGCACATTTACATATAACCAATCTGTAAGGACATTGCATCACCCCAGACACTACTTCATTTAATACACATACTGCATGACTCAGCATTTTGCACACCTGTCAAATATGGCTGCTGATTATCATAGGCCTTGTTCTGCCTCAGTGTGAAAATTATCCTTGATAAAACAGTTGTGTCAAAGTCCCTTGAGAATGATTGCTAGTCATCATGGCATCAGTTGATACTGTAGTAAATCCTTTATTCAGAGTTGGTTCACTTACCATTAATGATATATGCTCTATTCCTTGTCTGATGGCTTTCTGTTCTGTTTGTTGTCATTTGAAAGTGGAGGCCGAATCATTACTGTGGAAGGAAACGGCTTTTTGATGGCTCAGAATGTATCTATGGTAGTTCACACTATTGGGAAAGAACAAACGGTAAGTCTAAGTCCAAGTATCATAAGAAAGGAAAGAACGAAATGGTTAGAAAAGCAAAGTAGAATAGAAAAGAAGATGGGTAAAGGATGCACTACTGCGATTCCTAGATTATGATTATCTTAATCCATTTCAATGTGACTTCAGACTTGACTATGGGAAGGAGACAGCTTTAGTCACTTTGGTAGATGACCTGCACCAGAAACTGGATGTTGGAGTACAGACAGACAGACATACAGACAGACAGAGTTGTCAAATAATACAGTGGTACCTCGCTAGACGACAACCTCGTAAAACGACAAATCCACATGACGATGAGGTTTTGCAGTCACTATAGTGATTTGCAAAACAGTCATTCCTATGGGGGATTTTCGCTGGATGGTGATTCGGTCCGTGCTTCGCGGCCCTTTTGTTCACAAGATGACAATTTTTACAGCTGATAATGGCTCTGCAAAATGGCTTCCCTGTGTTTTCAGGACCCATGCTTCGCAGGATAGCCATTTTAACAGCTGATCGGCGCTCTCAAAATGGCTTCCCTATGGGCGATCTTCGCGGGACGAGGACTATTTTCCCCATTGGAATGCATTAAACGGGTTTCAATGGGGAATCGCATTTCACATGACGATGATTTCACTAAACAGTGATTTCTATGGAAAGGATTATCATCATCATGCGGGGCATCACTGTATATGAATTGATCTTAAGAACCATTTGTTTTAATGGAAGATAAGCCTGCTTGTTGAGGTGGGAGATTCATAGCCATTTCCAACTTTCATGTCAATCTGATGTCGCCATTTTTGTTTCTTGTGAAATGTTTTATGTACAATGGGTAGTTTATAGGTTTTAGTTTGGCATTTCAGTTTGTGCTCCGTTGGAATTTACCTCTCCCCTACCTAAAACTACTTTGACTGGCATTCATTGCTCATGCTTAGAGTTTGGCCTAGTACAACATGGAGAATCACGTGGGCATTTTCCTACAGGTCAGATTATGTATTAAAATGTCTGCCCTGCCCTTTATCCAAAGGCACAGGTTTGGTATACCATTGTTATAATTTTTCTCATGGTTCTCAGCAACTCAGTGGTCTTAGGAGGACAAGATTCTCCTGAGACATATTTAGTGTCTGCTGGATGTATTCTATGGTCTAAGGCTCCATGTTCTTTGAAACCATTTCAGTTATTATTTCTGTCCAAAAAAACAAATATTTTCCCAGTGAATTTTGATTTCTCAACTCTGAACATTTTTCTTTGGTTAACACTTTTGTGATTAGAAATTTTGGTTATTTTCCTTTTCAAGAGTGTTTTCTTCTTTTTCCCTCCAAGGATTCTGCAGTTTTCATGATGGTGTACAATGATCATTGGTGTTCCAAAAACAGTCTGTGTAGGGGTGGAGGAGGCTTATGCAGAGTGACGGGCTGCCTTTGTCTACCTGTAACCACTTTTAAACTTACCTTAAGAGGATGCCCAGCAAAGTTTTGCCATTCATTTTTGGAACATTCATTTATCATTTTTCTGCACTGCGCACTGATGCACGCCTGAAGAAGGGATTTTTAATCTATGAAAGCTTGTATTGTTTGATTTTTTTTAGTGGTCTAATAGAAGTATCCCTTTTTAAAACATTTCTTGTATAATGACCATACAGCTTCCTTTGTTTGTTTGGTTGGGGTTTTTTTAATGATCAGAAAGGTGCAAAGTTTGTAAAACTGAGTTTCCATTCAAACTTTCCAACCAAGAAGGATTCTGAATGATCTGCTTTTAAGTAAGTTAGTGGATGCTTGTGTATCCTCTTTTACAGCTCCTAAATCAGCATGGTGTAATGTCACAGAAATCTTCTTCTACTCAGGCAGAACATTGATGCCCTCTGTTAACTGATTCAAGTCTTTTGTTGCTGCCTTTTAATGATTTTTGTTTATGCATTAAACAACCAGTGTATCTGTATTTGATATGCATGCTTTCTCCTGCTTTCAGAACTGTAAGGTTCACTCCGACACTATGATTACCTGCCCCTCTCCAGCTGCCTCCAACCTCACTGGGAGCAAGCCAACATCTGTGGATTTTTACATCAATGGACGGCTGTATACTGATGACAGCCTTTTTCTCTTCGAACACCCTGAGGAGGCCATACATATTAGCAAGTTCCTCTTGGAATACTATCCCGATCCCCAGTTCTTCACAGCGAAAAAGGAAAAATGGATCAAACATCATCCTGGAGAGCCCTTGACACTAGTCATACATGTAAGGATGCAATACATATGAAGCATGCTCTGTATGTATATTGGAATTTTCTTTGGAATTAAAATAATTGTTTTGTTGAGACCTTTTCAATGTCCCTTAAGGACATATTGGTAGACTGACCAATGAGTAATTAAGGGAGAGAAATGACTGTATAAGAAATAATGTTTTAAAAACCTCATGATAGTGAAACTCCCCAGATTAAAAAAAAACAGGCAAACAGTTATGTGAGCCTTCTTAAATGTAATTGATGTGATGCTGAAATGAAGGGAAAACCAATTTTCTGTATCTGATAAACAAGTTTCACAGTTATGTAAAAATTTGCACAGGCTAGTGATGTGAGGCCAAGTTACACATTTTCTGAACAAGGCAGATAGAAAAAAAGTATTTGACATTTGTATTCCTGTTTCTTGTGCATTCATATAATATAAAGACTGGGTGCTTGGTTCTGTGTCTTGTTCTGTTTCTTGGGCTAGTCAGATCAGTTTTTTAAAAGCGGAGGAAAGAAGAGCAATACTTATTCGTGAAATTCTTTATAGTTTCCAATGGAGGGACTATATATATATGGAGTAGAACTGAATGAAGAGGAATACCTAGCCTTGACTGGGACCTCACAAAATTTCAGCTAGCTATGACAGTTCAGAGGCAGCTAGCTGCTGTATATGTAATGACATGTACAGATTAAGAGATACTTATGAGAAGGAGGACCTGACTCATAGTCCATGAAATACCCATAAAATTTAGATATGTGGTTGAAAACTGCCCACATCACTCTTTCAAAAGCCCAAGAATAGGAGAAACAACGGACAAAAGAATAAAGAACATTTGGTGGGAGGAAAGGAGGTTGAAAAATCATGCTTAAAAAGAACCCCCTTGCACTATTCTGGCAGTTTCTTGTTACATAAAGAAGGAAATGTAGCCAAAGTAGAACTTGAATGACTTGGACAAGAAACAGTGCTCTATGGAGGCTTTAATGTACAGTAGACTGTACTTGCGGAGTACTTCAAAAGCATTGTATAATGCACTCAGCAGTGAGCAATTGGAGCACCTTCTCACTTCTTACTCATCCAGTTTTGTATTTGGACTTATGAGTATTTTTAATCAGATATCATTTGGTGTACTAAACCAGGAGAAGATGAAAGGCACTGTTCCCAAGCATTTAAGGCTTTTTGGCTCTGTTGCTTTCCATCCCGGGAGTTGGGAAGGAGCTGGAAACACTTCTTGTTTTTCTCTTCATCTCCATCACATCCAAAATAGGAAAGCAGGGAATGCAAAGAGGGTGGTTTATTTCCTGTCTGCCTTGGAAGAATACAGGATGCCTGCTGGATGCTTTGGCGTCAATAACATTATTTCAGAAATGTTGGGACTATTTAAGCTTTCTAGAATTGGCCAGTATAAAGAGACTAAGGTCTGTTGATGGGCACATCACTTGTTCTTGTTCTTGTTTTCCCCCTCCCCTCGTGATTAGAAAGAGCCTGACAACCTTGGACTGGAAAGCAATGAATATGAAGTTAAAATTGGCCTTATTTCCTGTGAAATTCAAATAGTTTCAGACAAAGTTATTCACTGTTCAGTCAATGAATCTTTGAGCACCTCGGAAAGACAACTCCCTGTTACGGTAAGCAGAAGAAACACAAAAGCATTTGCTATGTATTTGATCTGTTTTATATCTCATTCCATTCTTGTGGCATCATAAAACTTGGCTTTAGTCACAGTGCCCAGGAGTTTCAAGACCCCCCCTTTTTTTTAAAGATAAAGAACAAGTTAATGTTTAAGAAAATTATGTTTGTTTGTTTGTTTATTCTATTTGTACCCCACTTATCTGGTCAATACGACCACTCTTTAATTATCATTAAAGGTCAGAACTTTTCAGGATAGCAGGGTTAGTCAGTTTCAGCAAAAAGAATAAAGAGTTTTGTTGATAATGTAGTTAAATAGGGGTTTCTGTAAGTTTCCTGGTTGTAGAAAAGACTTCCTTTTATTTAAGTTAAGGAGGAATTGTGTATACTGGGTGTGTTGTTCTAGATCAGTTGTGTCATTCTTAGAACTCTGTCCAGATTTGGGGAAAACTTCTAAGACCAGGCAGTGGCTAGTTTCTAGTCAGCCCTCATAGCAATGAGCAACACATAGGTAATTGGCAGTTAGATAGGAGTTTCTGTAAGTTTCCTGGTTGTAGAAAAGACTTCCCTTTATTTAAGTTAAGGACGAATTGTGTATACTGGGTGTGTTGTTCTAGATCAGTTGTGCCATTCTTAGAACTCTGTCCAGATTTGGGGAAAACTTCTAAGACCAGGCAGTGGCTAGTTTCTAGTCAGCCCTCATAGCAATGAGCAACACATAGGTAATTGCAAAATCTATAGGTTTTCAAGCTGACATTTGCTTGTGAAGTGGGACTTCCTGTTTTTCTCAGTGCAGCTCCCATAGCACCCTGTAAATCTGCACTACAAGATTGGAAGTTGTTTTTGAGAAGATTTAGAGGTGGACATGTGGGCAGTTGCAGGGAGAAGAGAACGTTTTTATTCCCCTTAGCACAATCTTATAGTTTACTACTGCTTATTTGCATAGAATTTGCAACCTGCCATTGGATTCAATGTGTTTGGCAATTTTTCTGTTCTTTACAGGCTTTATCTATTTCAGTCTTTCTACTGTTTTTAGTCTCATTTGTTTATTCACTCACTTACTTACTCACTTACTTATACAGTGGTGCCTCGCTTAACGATTAACCTCGCTATACGGGGCACCACTGTATTTATATCCCACCTAATTAGTAGCTAGGCTACTACTCTGGCCAGCTAACAAAATGACACATAGTCATAAACAACAATAAATATGATAAAAACAATAAAACAACAGTGAAAAATAATGACAGGCAGGTGGCAGAAGGGATACATAAGATTACATAATTAGGGGCAAACTATTGAAAGGCTTGGGAAAAACAACCAGGTCTTCAGTGGCTTCCTAAAACCCAGGAGGGATGGGACCAGTCGTACCTCTGGTGGCAGGGAGTTCCAAAGTGAAGTGGCAACCACAGAGAACGCCCAGTTTTGAGTGATTGATTTCTGGGCCTCCCTTGAGGTGGCCACTTGGAGCTTCCCAATATGAGATTTAAAGCTCATAGATCTTAGCTATAAGGAACTTCGTGTCAAGATAGGGCTGAAGGTGTGCGATCCGCCTCAGCTGGTAAAAAGTGGACATGGCCATGGCTGAGATCTGGTTCTCCATTGGGAGGGCCTGGTCCAACAGCACACGAACCTGATATAGGTTACAAACCTGATCCTTCAGGGAGAGTGTGACCCCATCAAGACCAGGCAGACTACCACTGAGTTGATCAGGGGTCCCTCCTAACACCAGGACCTCTGTCTTATCTGGATTCACTTTCAACCTGTTAGTCCTTGTCCAATCCATAATGACAGCCAGGCAATGCTCCAGGGTTCAGAAAGCTTCCATTGCTGAGGAGAAGGAGAGACAGAGTTGTGTGTCATCTGCATTCTGATGACAGTAAACTCAGAAACTCCAGATGATCCCTCCCAGCAGTCCCATATAGATGTTGAACAGGATAGGGCTGCTGAGGAGAAGGAGAGATAGAGTTGTGTGTCATCTGCATTCTGATGACAGTAAACTCAGAAACTCCAGATGATCCCTCCCAGCAGTCCCATATAGATGTTGAACAGGATAGGGGTCTAATGACAGCAAACTCAGAAACTGCAGATGATCCCTCCCAGCGGTCCCATATAGATGTTGAACAGGATAGGGGAGATGATGGACCCTACAGTGCAGTACCCAAGGGGACGAAACAGCCTCCTTCAACTGAACCCTCTGGTACCAGCCTCGAGGAAGGATCAAAACTATCACTGTCATCCAAGAACATCTGCAACTTCAACATTATAATGTACTGCTCTTACTGTTACGTATGTTGCCATGAAGGGCAGTCTTAAAATTAATGGATCAGTAAAGAAGAATGTCGGTGGGTTGCAGCTGGGAATGCAAGGAATATGTTCATTGAACAGTTGTCTCCTTTTCCATGAGAAATGGATAGCAGCAGCTATCCTTTATATGAGCGAAGTCAAAGAGATATGCTGAGGAATACCACGGGTGGGTTTGCACTTGCTCCATGTATCTTCTGATCTTATTATCTGGGGTGTTATCATATTTAGCCCCTTCTGAACTGTGACTCAGACTGAAGCCTATTTGCTATACCCCGGGTAATGTTTCTTTGTCAGTGTAAAATGTGATTCTGCCATGAGACAGAACCTTGGCAAGAAGCAAAGGGAGAGGGAGAAGGAGAGAATGAAGAAAGACATAGGTTACCTTTCAGGCCATGAGTAACTAAAGCACATTGATGACAGGCATATAGGATCATGTCCAATTAAGAAGTAACTGGTTCTGCCAAGGATAAGTAAATTAAATAAAAGCAAAGTTGCATAGAGGATTTGGTCTCTTCCCAAGTGACAGAAAGATGGTGTTAAATTATCGGCACAATCTATCATTTACTGTAATTTTTTTTTACTTTAAAAATGCTATATCTTCATCTGCTTTTGTATAATCAGTATGGTAATTCTCAGCACTTTAATGTGAACTGGCATTCTTGCTGTAGCGCTCAGTAGGGCAGCTAAGGGCTAAGCAGATGTGAGGGATTATATTATAATCAAGAGACATGTATGGGGGTTGTTGTACATTCTAGCCAGCTCCTGCCTTCGAAAAATCAGTTATCAGGGTTGACTTCCTAGGGTCAATTTACATGTGAGACTAAATGGGTCATTGGGAACTTTGTCAGATGTTAGAATTTTCATATTGTATTTTAAATACATTTATTTAAATGTCCTCTTCCAATTTTCATCAAACGTACAGCAGGTTGGTGGGGAGGGCTTCATTCTCCAGCTATTAACCTGATTAATATCTGCTCACCCTTCACGGTGACGAGGCTTAGGGACAAATCTCCCAGAGTGCCTGCAGAAACTTTTCTAACCTAACAGCCATGGGAGAGGTGGGGGTTATCATTGATAGTGGAAGGATGAAACCTTTCCATTGCGAGTGCTGTGAACCTGGTGAAAAAAGAGGGGGAAAGGATTCTCCCCATGCATGTTGTCCAAGTGAGGATCTTGCTGTTGAATTTTTAAAAACATATGGGGGGGGGGAGAATACACTTACTGTCATCTCCAGTTTTACCTTTCCCCGCCTGTCAGGTTGGTGGAAGTGGTTGTGTAGCCCTCGAAAAGTTGTATTCTCAGGTCTCAGTCTCCCACCCTGGGAGGTTTTCTTCCTCTGTCAAAACTTTCTTTGATGTGATGATTTCCATTTGTGGTTTTATGAGCTTTTATTACCATTTTACCAGACTGTGTCTCTAATTCTACTGCTTTCTCTGTAGTTTCTTTTATTTTCTGGAATAGTGTTTAGTTTCTTAGGAGTAACTTTAAAGCTGTTCACAGTCCAAGACAGGTGGAGATATTCTCTCCAAGGCCGGACAACCTACAATTTTCTCTCTTTTTTGCCTGCTCCCCAGACCCTGGTGGTTCTTTTTTCCAGTAAATGTGTTAATATTAAATTGACAGCCATATGTAGTTTTTTTTAACTGAGAGAGAAGTTGTCTCTTAGGACCTTAGAAACCTGTAGACAAACCATGCCTAGAACTAGAGTATTTCACAAATGGGGAACAGAATCTTCAGAGGAAACCAGTGCTTCTAAATACTGCATTGGAGAAGTTAGTGCTATTTAGTTGTTTTCAGTCTTTATAAACAAAATTCCGTTCCAGAGAAAGACAGAAGCAGGAATATCAGGACCCTGAATTTCCTGACCCATTGTTAAAGAGGGCTATAAAATGAGAAAATTCCATCTTCAGTAGGAACTTTTGGAAAAAAAGGATGATTTTTTTAAAAAAATCAAGGGGGTTTGTGACCTGATTTTAGAGACTATGCAGGAAACAACAAATTGCTTTATCCTGAAAAGTGGGTATCAGTTACATTAGTCGCTTGTCATTTTAGCAGCCTGTTTATCTCCAGGCTAGATGTACACATCAAGGATGTATTGCAATGTTGTTGATAAACTTGAGTGATTTCTAAAGGCTTTGGCAGGTCATAATGTGAGCCAGGCATATGACCCAGGGGCTCCGTATTTTGGAACAATGTATGCCTTATCCCAGAGCACATAAACACATAGCTGCTGTTCCTTGAAAGAGGTTTCCTTGCAGAAAATGCACAATCCAGCTAAGTAGGAGAGATGTTTTCAGACAGACTACGTCACCAGAGTTTGGAAATGTAACTTTTAAGACTAGAGCTCCTAGAATTCTCAAACAGCACAGCCAGGGATTCTGAGAGCTGCCATCCAAAAGGAAAAGGGAAAATTAACGTTTACAAAATCTTATTCTCACACACTGAAGCCAAGGCTGAATTACATCACTTTTCTGAAGAAAAGAAAAGAAAAGCATGCTACGTATATATCGCACCCTACGTTCAAAACACTCTCTGGGCTGTTTTCAATTTTAGTTATGCCCCTCCCCAGCAAGCTGGATATTCAGTTTACCAGCGTCACAAAGATGGAAGGCTGAGTGAACCTCAAGCTGGCTACCTGGGATTGAACCCAGAATTTTGGCTGCAGTACTGCAGTTTAACCACTATACCACCA